TTGTCAAGTTTATTATGCTTTAAGTAAATTTTGACTAGATTTATTCTTTAAAATTATTTATATTTAAAATATATGAACGTTTTAATAAAAAAAAAAACTAGGATGTAAATCTGCCTTGCCACTTAGCTTGTTTTCTTAGAAATATTTTATCATATAAAATGCTGTTACGAATTGTCAGCCCTAATTTTTTTCTGAAAATCAAACCCAAGGCTGATTTTGATCACAGGTCAGTGTTTTGTATATTTATATTGTATCAGTTTCTTATATTCAATAATTTTACGAAGTTAAAACTATTTGGGGTCAGTATTTAAATTCTAAAGCAACAAATAAAATTGGTTTAATTGTTACCTCATTAATTTTCAATTCATATTTTGGTAGTAGTTTTATGTTCATAAATTGTTTTTAAGTAACTTACATACAACTATATAAATATCTCATCATTATAGAGATACTAATTGATAATATGTGAACTAGGATTATGAATTTTTCAGTAAAAGGCATGAACAGCTTTACTCTTGGATCAGCTGTTGGGCAATGATTTTTCAGTATTTATAGCACATAAACAATCTGGAGAGCAAGTGAGTAATATTATGTTAGCATTATTATTTACAAAGTCTGGTGCAAAACAACTGCAGTAGGGTAGCCAGCAAAGACCAAACTGCCTACACTAGTGAATTTTGCAAGATCAGCTTGCCAACTATTGCACCTCCACAGAGCCTACTATTAATTAAAATGATGTGAGAGAAAATACTTCAGGATCTACATAGGTAATAGTCTGAAAAAAATATGAATTTATCATCTTAAAAAATTAGTTACGTTTGGGTGATCTTAATTCTGGAATCATTTTCAAACAGTATGAAAGGATTTTACTTGAAGATAACTTGAAAAAGATTTTTATTTGTTTTCCTTTTTGTTTGTTTCTGAGAAGAAAGTCTAGCAAAAGCAGTACAGAGGAGTGTAACTACTTTTGGTGAAATTGTAGTTAAATGAATATCAATCTATAGGAACAAATTAGACCGAATGACATCATCTTGTAAATCCTTTGAAGATGTCCAATTGTCTTTTAGAGCTTTTTTTCTTTTTCTTTTTTTTTTTCTTTCTTTCTTGTTGTTGTTCTGCTTCAGTAAGTAAAGCTGAACTTTTTGGTTATGTGTCTTGGCTAACAATATATCGTTCATATATTAGGGTGGTAAATTACGTGTGGCATTTTTTCTTTCTGATATTTGTTTCTAACCCTTCTTAACAGCATGAAATAACCTAATTAATCCTGGCAATAGAGCATGTTTCTTTAATAAACTGCAAAAGTTTTTTTTTTATTTTTAATGTTTAGTTTCTATTTATTAAAAATATCTTCAGATTTTCAACCATGTTTGTAAATAAGTTTTATATTTGAGTTTCTTTTATCAATTAAATGTTTTGATGTTTTCCTGTAAAATTCTATGGGAAGAATGTGGAATGTTTGCTTTAAATGTTGGTGAATGGTTTGATTTTTCAATTCTTAAATAGAAAGTGTCTAATATTTGATTTGTAACTTTTTAGGGTTTTGCAGAGGGAAGCTTTAAACTTTTCTTTTCTAAATGAAACTAGGTTGCCATTTTTGTCAGTCTAAAAAGGTGATTTTTGTGTTAAGAATAAAATTGTCAAGCCTTTTAAATGCATCTTGTGTCTAAGAAAATAGTGGGAGAATAATTAAGTCTATAACTGCAAGATTGTCATTTAAAATGTCCTTGGTCAGAGTATTTTTAACAAGGTAGATGAAATTTTGAGTTTGTAGAGTTGCAATTTGGCATTCAGATGAGAAGGCTTTGTCTAAAAACTCTACAACTCATAAATTGTACTCTACTGAAATAAGGATAGTATCCTGAATAATTTTAAATACAAACATTTTCCAATTGTAGATAACTACTTTCAGTAAACATTATGAAAATGGGTCTATTGTAAAATGGGAAAGTTACACTAAACATCTACTCAGAATGGGCTAGATTTAAAGTCCAAACAGATGTTAATGGCTTCAGTATGGGCAGGGAGGGTTGCAACATCTAGTAAGGATCTTTTACCTCTTCCTCATATTACCAAACTTTTCTCACATATGGGTCTCTTGTTCCAGCCAGGGGACACTGATATAAGGGGGCAAAATGCATAGCTGAATAGCTTTTCTACTTTGTCTTATCTCTTTCATTGCCCATAGAAAGTAGAAACTTTCATATCCTCCATCATGTGTACATGAATATCTAAGACACTGCTCCTTCCCTCTCCTCTCCCCCCTCACTGCTCCTTACCCCACCTCTCCCCTCTCCTCTCACTCTCTTCCCCCTCCCTCACCTCTGATCCTTCTTGCTTGCATTTCCATTGTATTTCAATCTCTTTAGTACTTTTCTGCTTAGTGGAAGGTCATGCCTGCAAATAATCACAAGCTATTGTTGTACTCAATATTTTTTTGATATGCTTTATTTGTGAATTCTATTATCTTGTGTAATAACATGAGCAGGTATGAATTTCCACTTTTGTAGAAGATAAATAATATTACTTGAAAAAAGTAAACAAATTGGATTTTACAAAATGGAATTTAGTCTGGTACAGCCACAAGAATGGGACATTCTGTTATGACAAAACTTGCTACAACAACAAATGATTTAATGAGATATACTCGTTCATCATTATCATCATTCTGTATCCTGATGCTACTTTAACAATCTGAGGGTTTTCAAAACCATTAATGGGTGTTTTATTTATTTATTTTTAATAGATTGTTCAATCCCTTTACATCTTAATCTCTTTGCCAATAATACTTATTATTCATGCATGTATTTCTAATTCTTGAAAAATCCTCTGCTTCCGAGAAACTCTCAAAAGTTACAAAAACCTGATAAATTTCCTTTATGCAGATTTATAGGATGAATGATAATTTTGAATATTTCCTTCATGTTATCAAGAATTTTGAGTTTTATATCTACACAAATTTTGGATGATAAAGGGACGTAACTCATAACCTGTGCCCGGTAGATTCTTTAAGTATGTAATAATTTGGTAGTACACATGATTGTAGATAAAATATCATTTTTGCTGTAATGTAAACTTGTTGGGCTGGACGGACTACATTTTATTTTTAGGCTCCACAAGTTTCATGCCCACAAATGTTCCCTCAATAGAAAAAGTACACAGACCATATACTAACCAATAATTGCTACCATAAATTGATATGATTTCTGTCTCTACTCCCACGTATTTTTAAGTTATAAATTTCAATCTGTTTATCTGCACTGGTTTTTTCCCTCATTTTTTTTCTCTTTCTTTTTTTTTTTTATTACCTGACTATATTACTTTTCATCATTTGATCATAGAAAAAAATCCTTCCCATATTGAATCTTTACTTAGTGATAAAATATTTACTTGTGCCACAAAGCTAATAGATTCAAAATGATTTTATTTTGAACAAAAGAATTTATTGCTGCAGATTCCTTGTGGAGAATAGAGCTGCATCCACATTAATGCTGTGTAAACAAGAAGGCTTTTTATTTATTTATTTTCTATGCAGTGGAATTTCCATCTCCAACTCCCTGACTTTGAATTCAGTGTTGTCCTTTGAAACTAGTTGCAAGCCAAAAATAAAGAAGTCAGTGTTCAGTCTGCCCTACTATTTTACCTAGAGTTGGAAGGATAGCAAAAGGAATAAAATCCTGTCTTTCTCAAGAGCATTAGTGTGAAGTGAACATCCACTGTCTCACTCAGAATTTGAACTCTGCTCACCAACTCCATTTTCCATATTAACAAATTGTACCTCTATTGAACAGTAGTAGTTGTAGTAAAGTCACAAAGCTGTAGTTTGATCTGTGTACAGTTGACTTCTCAAAATCTGACAAAACATTTTTTTTTCTTAAGGACACTTTTGTCAAGCTGGGCTTCTTGATATTTTCTTGTATAAATAACTCCTTTTTTTTTTTTTATTACTTTTTCTAAGATTACTTAATTTTTAATGCTAAATTGTTTAAATTATGAGGATTTTCTTCTATAACTGGCCATATTTTAGTTGAAGCAGATGGTCAAATATCTAAATCAACTATTGGCATTTTAGTCAAATGCTTTTGTTTTCCATTGAAATCAGTGCATTCACAAATGTCTCTGAACTTTTTATTAAGAGAATGTCAGGCTTATATATAGTGTGTTCCTTATCTGACTGACCTTGAGTGGGGCTTATGGCCACATTATATTGTTACTCTGGTTCCTGTACAATCAAGATACAAAGATAAGCAACAGTGAACCTTGTCAATACCTAGTTAATGACTGCTTGGTAATACCAATTGCTATAAGCTTGGATGTGTGGGTTGTGTAATAGGTAATATCTTGGAATTGTTAATCAGAGAGCGGAGTTCCATTTCTCATTGTGTTCATTATATTCATTTACACACAAAAACCCTAAGGAAAGGTATGAACCTCCTTCTCTAGCTATGAATAATACTTTATTACTAAATCATTATCCCCCCCCCACACACACCAAAAAATGTCTTGCAATCAGAAAATATTTTCTGGCTTTATATTACCTGCAAAGGGTTAATAAACTGTAGAAAATCAATGACTTTAAGTGGTTTTTGTCCTGTTTTGGTTTTATTAAAATTCTTGAGAAGCACAGGATTTGGGGGTTGAGTTGATTCCAATAAGAATCTTTGATTATTTATAATTAATATTAATTAGTTCTGAAGAATGAATATGAATGAAATATGCAGTTTATATGTTGATTGGTGTGATTATCAGTCATTTCCACCCATAACTTCTTGGGGAAAATAATTAGAAATGTTCTTTTTAGTAAAAGATCCTTTTCACTTTTGGTCCAAGAAATTAATAATCCAATTTTTAATTAGAATAAAATGGTGGGGCATTAAACTATAATTAGAATTGCATTTTATTTCTCATTAATCCTAAACTAATGTCATTTTATGTTTTTTTTTTTTTTTTTTTTTTTTTTTTTTTTTTATTTTTTTTTTCTCTCTCCCTTTGTTCTTCAGACAATCCAAAGCAGCAGCAGTGGCAGCAGCAGCAGCAGCAGCGGCGGCAGCTGCAGCAGCAGCAGCAGCAGCCAATCAACATCCTCAGGTATCTGTTGTTGCATTGCAACAAGCTGTAGCTGCCCAGCAGCAACAGGTCTCTGTACAGCAACCGGCAACCCAGCAGCCAACCCCAGTACAGCAAGCACCTACACAAATCCAGTCATCCCAAGTGGTTGTGGGTACAGCCCCTGCTCAGGCTATCTCTTCTCCACAGACTGGAGCCGAAGATTATTCTTCAGAACTACAGATCGTTGATGAGAACGGTCAGCCTGTAGACTGGCAGGACCCAAATGAACCACGATACTGTGTGTGCAATAATGTCTCCTATGGAGATATGGTTGGCTGTGATAATGATGATGTAAGTCTCTTTTTTTTACTAATACAATTTCTCAATGTTTCAAGATCCATTGTCATTTCCAGTAGACTCAATAATTTTTGTTTTCTCTCTATATTGTTTCTATTCCATATTGTGGAAATTGTTTAGCTGAAATATTTGTGGAGAAAAATGGCAGTTAGGGTGTATTTTACATTGCTGTTACAGAGCCCAATACCCTTATAACAAAGTTACTGGTGAGAGAATCTATACCTACTGGTGGTTGGAATGGGAATTGAGAAGCATTTAATTACAATAAAATAGTAACAGTAATTGTTTCAATTTTGAACCATTTTTATACTAAAGGCCTACTCATGGTGCAGCTTGGGGCCAAAAATGGAGACCTATTTCAAAAATTTTGAGAGAAGAGTTAACTCTTTTTTTAAAATACTTTTAATGATATTTTGACCCATACTTGGGGATAATCACATGTTTTAAATAAATGAAAATATGTATTTTTGGTGTGGGCACTGGCAAATGTTAAACAAAACAAAGAGAGAGCCAAAATTTCTGGTAAAATTTATTCTTCACATAATGTTAAAATTTTGTTAAACAATTACTTTTCATGTACATTATACAAAAGCCTTTGAATTTTTTAAGCAATGGACTACCATAAGCCCAAACAAACTAAAATATGTTCACTTTTGAAATAGGCCTCCAGTTCTGTCCCTTAGTTTTATCATTTGTAGGTATGTAGTATAAAATGCTAGGATTTGAACTATTAAGAGTTTTAACTAGTATGGTTGAAACAATGGCAGTTGAGATAAACCAGTAGGTCCTAGCCAAAATTCAAAGTTATTGTTTTAATAGTATCCAATTTTCAGCTTTGTTTATTGGGGTCAAAAATTCAGCTGACTCAATCAACTTATAGTCAAATCATGTTGAAATACTAGTTTCTGTACAATTTCCAATGTTAAGCAGTCACTCTTAGTTAGTAAGTACTTAGATGGGTGACCACTTGGGAATATCAGTTGCTGTAAGGTTGGATGTACATGTGGTGTAATGTTTAATACCTCGGAACTGTTAATCAGAAAGCCAAGTTCCAATTCCTGTTGGGTTCGTTATATTCACTTACACACAAATGCTCTTGGGGAAAAGTATGAATCCACCCCTTCCCTCAGACTTATATCAGTAAACAGTTATCTCAAAAACAATTTTCTGGCTTTAAATAACCTGCAAAGTGGTTAAGCAATAGTAAATGAATCAATCAATGTCTAGTGGGTTCAAAAATTCAGCTGACTCAATCAATGAGAAACAGTAGAATGAAGTCATCAAAATGCTTCCTTGTTACTATGCATGTAATTGCAACCTAACATTGAAAAGGACGTATTCCTTATATATAGCAGTAGTAGTCTGGGCAGTGCTGTGCTGGAGTGACATGCAGTCAACACTGATAGATAAGTCTGAAGTAGTTAGAGAGATGGCAGGGGGTGCAATCAGATGATGAAATGTAGCAAATGAGTTGACATCATTACTCCTCTTTACCACCTGCTCTACTATCTCTTTCAAAATGCTGCACAAGAATAATTTTGTCAAAGAGTGAAAGTTCTGGAGGTCAGCTTTATCTACCAGCCTGAGACTGAAATTGCTTGTTTGAATTGTTGTACCAACTATCATTCACCAGTCCAGGACATTGTTGTTATGACATGTTGTGAATAAGACTGACACATATTAACTCACAAACTGGTGGTAGTAGTAGTAGTAGTAGTAGTAGTTAGACAGCACTGAGGAATTGAGATTGGTGAATCTGATAAATGTAACCATCAATGAATAAATTCTATTTTACTTCTAGAAACAAGTCTATTCAGAAAATCATTAGTTTTTTCTTTTCTTTTTTTTTTTTAAACTTTAATTTTTTTTAACTAGTACACTTTGCTTCCAAAGATGTTTCAACCTGCTACACGTAAGATTTCTTCAAATCAAAAACTTAAACACAATAATGTGGATTGGGAAAAGTGACTGGTGGAGTGAGCCCCTACAGGACATGAGCTGGAGTGTGGGGTAATCCCTAATCAAAAGTTTAGAGTGCTTATAACAGTGGTTCCAAAACTTTTATTAATCACAGCACACTAAGTTTGTGCAGCCAACTATAAAACTAGGGCCTTGTTATAATGCAGAATTAACTGTCTTTATATAATTGGTACCCAGCGTCCTACCCAATAACATTAAGGGGAACTAAACATATTCAATTGTCAGTAACAGTTTATATGTTTAATATATTGAAATATAATCTTGCTATTTCACACTGTACCTAATTTCATCTTGGGGCACACATTTTGGGAAACATTGACTTATTAGAACTCTACTCCAAGTTTTCAATGATGTTTACTAGCACTTTGTCTATTTCGTTGTTTTCCATGTTTTGAATACATATGTTGTAGGAAAGAATGTTCTTTTTAATACACTTAGAATCACACTTTATATTTTTCTTTCTGCAGTGTCCAATGGAATGGTTCCATTATGGTTGTGTGGGATTAACCCAAGCTCCAAAAGGTAAATGGTACTGCCACCAGTGTACAATATCCATGAAACGTAGAAGTCGAAGGTGACTGGACTTGAGGTCATTGCTTGGAAAGTCAAGTTTTCAACTCTTTGATCCACAAAATGATCACTGCCTGTTCCCCATGAGAACATGGGGACCTTTTGGAGGAGGCGGAGATGGAAGAGATGATACTGTCAAGTTCACCAATGGTTGGAGCTTTCGAGGATTTCGATTTGATTAATCACAGGTGGTTAAAGATGAGAGAGAATCCAGATGGTAAGTGATGCCAACAAACATGTTACGCAACTACTACATATAATGTGAAAATAAGGAAAGAAAATAAACTGGCCATACTGCTTTCATAGCTCTGCCCTTCCCTCTTATCTGGCAATGGCTATAGCATCAAATGCCCTGCCCTACTCTCTGGTGGTGGAAACTTACCCAGCTTTGTGACAACTCTTTAAGTGCTACCTAACTTGATGTGGGTTGTTGGGGACATACCCACTTATTTACAAAAACCAAATTTGGTTGATATTTAAAAAAAAAAAAATAAATAAATAAAATAAAAGAAGTCAGAAGTCACTCAAGCTCTTCCTTGACAGCCTCTTTGGATATGCAAACACCTAACCTCCTAAAGAAAATAAGAACAAATTATATGAAAACTCTGCCAGCACAACCAACAAAGAGACTCAAATGATCCCATTCTTCTAATATGAAAGAATACCATGACTTTATATTTAAAAAAGAAAAGACAGACAAAAAAAAATTCACAAATCTTTTGTTTCTGTAGCCGTCCACTCAGGGGGTTGGAGGAAGATGTAGATTATAGCATCTTCATCAGCAAGCAGCTCCCACAAAAATGAACCTCCAATGGCCAGGCTAATTTTTTTTTTTTTTTTTTAAGTGGGGGTGTTAACTGCTTGTTACATTCACTACCCCCACCCACCTCAATTTTCCAATCACTTCATCAAGCAAAATCCTGCACTCAAAAATTTCTATCATTTTTCATTCATAAAACACTTCAAATGAATTTGGATTTTTTTTTCTTTTTCCCCACAACTAAAATACCTGGATTTCATAAATAGTTGCAACATACACAAAATGGAAGTAGTAAATTTAAATTGCTCACATTGTGCAAAGCTGTGAATGTTATCCCAGTGTTTGTTTTTGAGGTGTGCATTGATTTTATTTTTTATTTTTTTTTTTTTTTTTTTATTTTTATGACAGCAGTAAAAATTAAAATTGTTTTCCATTTGATAAAAACTGTAATATCAGTTTGTGTGCACTTCTTACACACACACACACACACACACACACACACACACACATCCTTTTGCTTTACAACAAACTGAGTGCAGCTCCATCAACCACATACATTTCAGTCATGCACCACTGCACCCAGTTAACATGCAACAACAAAATATTTCCCACCTACATACACATGAAAGTTTTGGTGAAACTTCTCTTCTATGACTTCAATATTGTATTGTTTGGAGAAAAATGGCATTTATCATGGCATGTGATCTCAGATAGGTATGTGTGTGATTGTATACCTGAAAATCAGTTCTTCATTTTTTTTCTTTTTTTTTTCCTTTAATTTATAATCTATTTGCAATTAAGCTATAAAAATGACAAAGAGGAAGTTGTTTTTGTAGATATTTCTATCAATTTATTAAACTCATTTGAGAGCTGCTTTTGAGAATCTGGCAGCAGATTTTGGTAATAATTTCATTCTTAAAACTCTTCTGAAATATCAGTTCTCTGCAGAGTGAAAATAGTTTCTTTAAAAAATATTTCTACTGGCTACATTGTACTTAATAAAAATAAAACAATATTGATGAATTTCTTCAGGTCACAAAACTCATAGAAAAGCAAAACGGATTCATGATAGTCACAATGTAGACTATTTGGACTTTCTCGCAGTAAAACGTGCAAGTAAATAATGTGACCATTTATAAGTAGCAAACTTTTACTTTATAAAGGTTTGTTTTATTTCATACTCATTTACAGTTGTGATTTTTTTTTTCTTTTTTTTTTTTTTTTTGTTTTAGTTTTTGTTTTATAGCCTTGAAAAGTATAACTGTTTTGAAAGGATTTCCAAATTGTGGGCAATAAAAAAAACAAAAAAAAAAAATGTATAATGGCTATTTGTTGACCTGCCATCTACTCTTCAATAATTAATCAATGTTTTGTCAATTGTTTTAATATTCTGAACTAATTTTGCTGTTGAGAAAATAGTCTATGCATTTAGTATGTAATATTTTAGCTTATCACTAGCTTCTTACCCTAGACCTATCCAAATTTACCTTTTTATCCTTAGAACATGAATTTCATGGTTTATCTTATATAAAGACACTGACCAAAGCTTCGAAGAAGGCATATCTAAGCTCTGGACAAGTCTTTTACATTTCCTATGTAATTGAATATTTCCTCTTTGCTAAGTGATTAGATTTTACAGAAAATGTACTGATATCTTAAATTAATTTTTTTGATCAGCACTCACTTCCTCCTTTTAGATGAAAATTGTATAATTTCTAGTAATTTAAAATAACCTGTGTCTTATTTTTTAATTTTGTTGTTAGTACATAAGTATATTTCTTGGGAATCCAATATTGATTTTCATTCAATGATATTTGATTTTTTTGTACTTTGTAATCTCTAGTCATATATGATTAGAAGATAGAGCATTTAAAATGGGGATTAAAAAAAAAATATGAAAGCATCAGTTGCACCTTAACTCTCTACCTATCTCAGTTTGTTCATTTCTCTCTTGTTGCACATATATAAAAATACTTGATTGATTACTTAGTGTCATTAAACAGGGTGCTGGTTAGTTTAAACCTGAAAAAAGAAGATAGAAAGAACCTTGGTTTTTGAGGCCTGAAATCAAAGTAAAACAACAATTAAAGAAACTGACCTTTTAGCTGCAGGCATTAGTATTTGATTTGGAGAGAAGTTAATATTGTTTTCTTTTAAGTAAGTATTTTTTTTCCAGAATATTTAAAATAGAATGTTGTGATAACTTATTTGAATTTTGTCGCTTTAAAAAAAAAAGTAAAACTTGTTGAAAATGTTTTGTTCTTACAGATAGCATAGTGCAATTATTTTGTTAGCCTCAAAACTCAGTATATTTGATTTTAGTTTTGGATTGTCTTCTTACACAAGTTGAACTGATTTGAGAATGACTGAAGAATTTGTGTGAATAGCAAATTCAAAGTTTAGATTTTTTTTTTTTTTTAAATTTGAGGGCTATTTATATTTTTACAGGATGTTAGAATAATTTTTCTATAACATTTTGTGAGCAAGATTTATATGCATACAAATCTATGGTGTGTGCTTGCATGTGTGTGATGCTTCTTAGTGTAAAACAAGCATGTGTAAGAAGAAAAATGAGTTAAGAGATAAAATATCTATCACCAGTTGTGTTGGTTCTATGAAACAGTTCATGAATAAAGAGAGTTTACTGACTTCAATTAACAGCATTAATCACCTCTTCTTTCCCTGCTCATGTTTACCTTTTAACTTCCTTACAAACCAAGGAAAACATCTGTGACTTGTAAATGTAATTATGTCTACTATAAAAATCATCTTTTTGACTGGGTTTCACATGAGTTCCATAAGTCTCCATATTATTTTTTCTCTTGGTGGATTCTTTTTTCTTTTCTTTTTTTCTTTTAATCCAGGATATTTAACACTTTAAATTTTCTTCACTGGTAATGAAAGCAATACTATTGCAACTGCTATTGCTGCTATCAACATCATCTCAATTTTTGTTCTTTATAATAAATAATGAATATTTAAACTACTGCTGATTACACCTAAGAGTTCCCTCTTGAACTGTGAGTAACTCCCACCTCACAACCTTCTCTCTATACCCCAAGAAGATTATAGTTGAAAAACATATCCAGTGATTATCAATTGATGTCAGCTCAATTTGGAGACATGTCTGTACCACAACAGTGAGAGAGGGTGGGATAGATTTCCCTGGTGATCTGATTGTTGTTTAATTTGTTAATCAAAACACTATGGACATACCTTGATGGTACTGGCCCCAATCTGCACATTTTCATTGCCTCAGACATCAAAATTGGTCACCTTTCAAAAACTACTTTCAAATTTTTTTTCTCCTAATACTACTATAAAAAAAAATACAAACTTAAACACCACTATTTGCTGCATTTTTTTTTTTTTTTTCATATAGTTGAGGGTTGATATCTGGTATGGATGTGTTGATGAAAATTAAACAATCCAGTAAGAAGTATTATGTACATTATTTACATTATTCAGACTATTGTTCTCATTTTTGTCACCATATTTATTACAACATTTCGGCTTTCTTCAGGTGGTTGGAATGTCGAACTGAACCCTTTATTTTGCTCACTGGAGTAGACTGTCCTAGTTCCACGTGCCATGTTTAATGGATGTCAATTATCAGTTATCTCCTGTTAATTTCCTTCTGAATGTTCTCCACTGCCTTAGCCAGGTATTGAACTGACACTCTTGGGTCCTGTCACAGTGGATAAAGGCGTTAGTTAGATCCAGTGACAGGACCCAAAGAGTGTGAGTTCAATACCTGGCTAAGGCAGTGGAGAACTTTCAGAGGAAAATTAACAGGAGATAACTGATTAACTGACACCATTAAAAATGGCACGTGGAAGTAGAACAGTCTACCCCAGTGAGTGAAATAAAGGGCTCAGTTCGACATTCCAACCACCTGAAGATGGCCAGAGCATACAATGGCTGAAACGTTGTAATAATATGGTGACAACTATAAGGACAATAGTCCAAATAATGTAAATAATAATCCAGTAAGAAGTTAATTTATTTTTTTATTTTTTTTATGCATTTTTTCCTCCTGTTTGGAAGCTGAAAGATATATTGCTTACCCCTTATGGGCAAAGACAGTAGTAGGGTGGAGAAGCATCATGGAACCCATATCTTAGTCAAAACTGGCATCAACGTTCTCTTCTAACCATTGTATTATGTCAACAAATTATTTAGGCTTCTGGAAAATTTTATTTTTAATGAGATCATAATTTAATATTTATGAGTATTTAATTTCTTTTT